GTTCCCTATCATCAGCTTCCTACTCCCCTTCTGCCTTCTGGGCCTTGTCACTGGACTCCTGTACCTCGTTAGTCTCATTTGGTTTTACGGGGCTGTTAAGGACCTTTTTTAAGTATCATTGTTATTGCATTACTTTTGTTTTAATTTTCAAAATTAGTGAACTACATTATTTTTTTTTTAAAAGATACTAAAGAAGTTACTTTCTGGTATCACTTGAATGATATCAAAGTTAGGCTTTAGTTCTTTGAAGCCCAGATCTATAAAAGCTTGGGTTCACGTTTTGGTAATCTTTTGGAATTTGGGTTGTATGTTTAATTTTGAAGTGAGATGAATTCTTTTTTTTCTTTTCTAAATTGTATTTATTTTGTTGAGGATATACACAGCAGAGTATACATCAATTCAACAGTTTCTACATGTACTATTTAGTGGCACCGATTAAGTCCTTTGAGTTATGCAGCCATTCTCACACTCCTTTTCTGAGTTGTTCCAACTCACTGCCCCCTGAGGTTCCCGTCTAATCTTTCGAGTTTTTGTTGTCCATTTGATCTCATTTAGATAGTTCTTAAAAGAACGTAATGCTCAAGGCAGACTGTTTTACTAGTTGAGCTAAACTGTTGTTCGGTTTTAAGGTGACTTCAGGGGATGTTTTTGGTTTAAGATTTAAAGATTATCTCAGGGCAATAGTTTCAGGGGTTCACCCATTCTCCGTGGCTCCAGAAAGTCTAGAGTCCATGAGAATTTTAAATTCTATTCAGCATTTTCCCCCTTTTGATCAGGATTCTTCTATGGAATCTTTGATCAAAATGTTCAGTAATGGTAGCCAGGCACCATCCAGTTCTTCTGGTCTCATGGCAAAGGAGACAGTTGTTCATGGAGGAAATGAATTCTTTTTAATCTTTCTCCCATCTCCCCTGAAATAAGAACAGCATTATAGGTATTTACTCAATTTGTAATATTCCTTATGAGTTGTTTTGTTTTGCAGTAATGATTTCTAAAATTAACTTTAACTTTTAGGAAAGTAACTGGAAGGAGACTGTGAATGAAACTGGGTTTCAGCTAAAGGTAAGATTGTTTGTATGAAATAATTTGTCATGTTCCTTTACAGTTTCCAGCACAGTGCCATGCTTGGTATCTATTGAATGAGGGAATGTTGGAAATAGTCCTTGCATCTAATATTGCCAAAGTTTTTGAAGAAACACTGCAGTTCACTTTCGGTTTGTGTAGTTTTAGTTACTAGTGAGACTCTGATGGGCAAATGTATGGATTTAATTCTATTGGGAAAGAACGTTTGAAGCAGTAATTTAGATGCATGCTGTAGATTTTTCCTACAGTGTACTCATACTTTGCATCTTTGTATTTCCTTCCCTTTGTCCTCAGCATTGCCACTCGTTTAGCTGTCCCCGACAATTGTTCATTCTTTATCAGATATGAAAGACACTTATCAAGAATTCAGCTCGGGTTTTCCAACCTTAGTAGACTAAAAGATGGCTCCTCAGTCATGCATATTCTGTCTACTGGGACATGTTGACCAGTTTTGAATGGCGTGAAAGTCATTTTGAATTAGTGTCTGTTAATGATACAGTCAGGGAGCCCTGGTGGCAGAGTGGTTCAAGCGCTTGTCTGCTAGCTGAAAGGTTGGCGGCTTGAATCTACCCAACTGTTCGTTGGGAGAAAAGACCTGGTGATCTGCTCCTGTAAAGATTATAGCCTAGGAAACCCTATGGGGCAGTTCTGCTCTGTCACATGGGGTTGCTATCAGTCTGAATTGACTCAATGGCACAGAACAACAACAGCGATACAGTCTTACTTTGTCTAGCTTTTAAATTTTAGTCATTAAAATTAATGTCTGAGCATGAGATTGGGAAAAGAGGATAGCTAACACATAGTCTAGAGAAGATGGATTGGATTATTATTTTAAACTGAGGATGGTAGTGGTGGTCAGACAGCCATCTTAATGCCACTCTGCCCTCCATTTCTTCCCTGAAAGTGATGTAACACAGGTTATTGCAAATTTTTTAAAGTTTTTTCTCTGTCCTGGTTTCAAATTTTTGGAAGTTTTCATCTCTTTAGTAGTTGATGTCACAGGAACGTCTTAACTTCCTGAGATAGAGTTAGATAGAATAAAAGATTCCCATGTTTTGTTTAAACTGAGTAGGTAAGTAGAAAAGTATATACTGATATAATATATGATAGAAGTTGATAAACTATTCACAAGAACACACAGTACCAAAAGTTCAGTAGATGCAGCCAACAAGAACTCAAATGTGTTTCTCATAATTTAAAAAACACCTCCTAGAGATTTATACATTGGTATATAGGTATTTGAAATTTAGCATAAGATAAACTGGAAAGAATTTTTTTATTCTGCAAAGAAAATCAAGTATCTAATTCTGTCTTAAACTCATTCTAATTTATAAATTTTTTTTTGCAGATATACATAAAAAAAAAATAGAGTTTTCTTGATTGTACTCCATCACTTTATGGTGCTCAGAGGGAATGCTGGAATTTTAGTTTAGAAATGAATTTGAAAATAACTAAAAAATTATTTACATTGTTTTGATAAGGTTTTCTGAGAAATAGGCCAAGATATGTTATAAGCTAATAATAACTATAAAACTAAAATGCAGTTTGTTTGTAATTTCTTTATATAGTAGAAAACATAAGTAAATTTTTGTCATTGATATAGTCAGTAGTTTAGATACTAGTTATCAGTTGTTTGTCCTTGATCTAATTTTGATTCTAAGTATTGTGACCTTGAGAAAACCTCAGGTTTCTCCATCCGTATAGAGTATACTGTTTACAGAGTGCTTTGGTTCTTGTATGTAGGTGCTTAATATTTAAGTGTTTATATTTAAGTGTTTGATTCCTGGGTGGAGGTAATATTATGTAAGTGTATACTTAATATTCACCATCAATAATTTTAAAAGACAGACTTTTAATGAAGTAGACCAGAAATAAAATGTGTGGGGAAACCTACATGTCTTACTGTATTCCTTATTTTGCTGTGGCTGCAACTTGGTTTAAGTCCTTGCTTCCATCAAGGAAATGAGGCTTTTTGGGACAACCTCACACATATACCTATATACATATATACATACATATATCTATGTGCATGTGAGGTGTCCTCATATACATATATACATACATATATGTGTGTGTATGTGTATATGTATATATAGTCATAGTTAACTTATTTGCAGGTCATATATTTGGCAGTCAAAACTAACCTGATCATAGCTGAAAGTTGTGGTGTAAGCAAAACTGACTTCTGAAATGTTCAAATGGATGTAACAAGGCTTACTGCTATGCTCGTAGAAGTACTTTGTTCCTGCAGATAGGATCCACGTAATTTTGTTACAGTCATCATCGAAACAAACGTCACTGTCTAGTTTCTAGGTTATACCATATTAGAAGCAGAAAGTTACAAAGGTCTAAAAGTGAGTACCACTGGAGACAGCACACTGTGACAGTAATGAAAATTGACAGCTGAGCCTGGAGGCAGAAAAGGAGACAGCAATGATCTGAGAGTCAAGACACTGCAGTGTGGGGCATTTGGCATGGGGCTGAGGCCCCCACATACCTGTGCAGCCCCTAAGGCTTTACTGCATGACAGATGGGTTCACTATTAGTTGTTTATGTGGTTACCTCAAGAAAAAGGTTGATTATGCTTGCTGTATACTCTTTAATTCAGTGTTTCGTAAAGTGTGATCAGCAGACTGTGCATCTCAGTTGTCACAATTATTTTAGAAATTCTTATTCCATAAGGTTGCTAGGAGTCAGGGCCAACTCGATGGCACTTAACAGCAACATCCCAGACATACTGATTCCACTTAGCCTAAAATTTTACAAATGTTGCTCTAAGGTGATACAGAAGAATATTTTTAGGAAGAGGATTTTAGAAAGATTGTCAAAAATGGTATAAAAATTTTTTTAGTGGGGAATCTGATAGGTAAGTTTCTTTTCTGAAGATGATCATCATCATCAGTATTAGATGCTTACCATGTGCTAAGCAGTGTAGTATAATTGTACAGTATTTTTTATGTATATTATCTCGTTTAATGCTTAGTAGAACCTTACTGCTTAGTCAAACCTCAGTACCTTCGCAGTTAGTCAGTATTATTCCCATTTTGCAGATGAAGAACTCTAGAAAGTGACTTATCCAAGGTCGCTTAGCTGTAAGTGATAGAGGCTGAATTCATGTGTATAAGTAACTTAAGGCCCTTCTTAGTTACCATTCCATATTACCTCCCTTTTTGCTTATGTAATTAATATATGTAAAAATGCTTGGTAAGGGAAGTTTTATTTTAAGCTCTATTTCTGTGAAAATGAGATCTTTCTGAATCAGACCAAATGTTTATATTTTATAAGAATACTTGACTTTGGCTCTTGGATCTGTCATCCTCAAAATTTGAAATGTTGTCAGCTTACTTTAAATTTCCTTTTTTTTCCAAACACGTTTAATTTAATCTATAGCTTTGGCTCACTAGGTTAATACTCACTAGAGTACCGTATTTTTACACAAATAACACATGCCTTCTGCATTTGTTTACCAGCCGCACCTTCCCCCATAAGGTATTTTCACAAGCGCACTATGCTAATTTTTTTTTACAGCAGCATGTGGAAGAGGATTGGAGTGCTGGTGCCACAGTGGTTAAGACCTACGGCTGCTAACCAAAAGGTCGGCAGTTCAAATCCACCAGTCGCTCCTTGGAAACCCTATGGGGCAGTTCTACTCTGTCCTGTAGGGTTGCTATGAGTTGGAATCGACTCGACGGCAATAGGTAATGGTAATGGTGGAAGAGGATTGGCATAGCGGTGCTTGTGAGGGTGCCTTGTGCTAGGGCAAGGCCAGCAAACAAACATGAAGGTGCTTGTTATTATGTAAAAATACAGTACTTATTATACTCAGCAAGGTAATTACATGGAGTCCCTGGGCTGTGCAAACATTTAACACACTTGGCTGCTAACTGAGAGGTTGGAGGTTTGAGTCCACCCAGAGGTGCCTCAGAAGAAAGGCCTAGTGGCCTACTTCTGAAAAATCAGCCATTGAAAACCCTGTGGAGCACAGTTTTACTGTGACAGACATGGGGTCACCATGAATTGAATCATCTTGATTCAATTATTTGGTCTGGAATGAACATATAACCTAGTTGCTTTAGTATAAAGTAATACTGTTTTAATAGTTAGCTCAGTCAGAAAGTAAGCATCATTTCACATGCCCAAATCTTAAATGAATTTAGGCTGAGTCAGAAGAATCTGGAACCCTGTCTTTTGCTTAGAGGGAGGACTGGCAGAGGCAGGGTCTGGGCCCTTCGGATCTCTGTTAATCTGTGTGTTGCACAGGAACTCCAAGAGTTGCAGATTCCAAATGCTGTGTGCCTACAGAGTGTGTATTCTTCTAGGTGTTGTGAATACAGTGGGGAATGAGCTAGAAACAATGTCTGTTCTTATGGAGCTTATATTTTAGTGGTTGGAGACAATAAAGTAACATTTAAGTTAAAAAATGAGAAACTTTAAGATATTGATAAGTGGTATAGAGGAAATAACGCAGGTCACTGTTAAAGAATGTGCTGGCAAGGATTATTTTTCAGGGGTTACTTTGTGAAAGAGTGACCATAAACTTGATTGTCCAAAGGGGAATACTCTTTTTTTTTTTTAAATTTTTTATTGTCGTAGTTTAAGTGAAAGTTCACGATTCAAGTCAGTCTCTCATACAGAAATTTTACACATTCACTGTTATGTGATGTAATTGCTCTCCCTATACTGTGACAGCACACTCCTCCTTTCCACCCCTGATTTCCCATGTCCATTCAGCCAGCTCCTGACCCTCTCTGCCTTCTCATCTCATCTCCGGACAGAAGCTGCCCATTTAGTCTCATGTATCTACTTGAGCTAAGAAGCACACTCTTCACGAGTATCATTTTATGTCCCACAGTCCAGTCCAGTCTTTGTCTGAAGAGTTGGCCTGGGGAATTGTTTTAGTTCTGGGTTGACAGAGAGTCCGGGGGCCAAGCTTTCTGGGGTTCTTCCAGTCTCAGTCAGACCATTAAGTCTGATCTTTTTTACTAGAATTTGAGTTCTGCATCCCACCCTTCCTCCCCTCCATCAGGGACTCTCTGTTGTGTTCCAAAGGGGAATACATACTCTTGAGAGTAAAAAGGGACATTATTAATAGTTAGAGTGGGACAACTGTCCTGGGCCAACTGGCCACATGGTCACCTGACTTTGTGGAGTTAGCATGTGAGCTGAGGCCTGAATAATAAGGAACCTGCAGTAGAGTGAACATAGCAGGTCAAGGAAGAGGAATGTTAGAGAGACGCCCCTGCTGGGTAGTGGCTTCCTAGGGAAGGGAAACAAATAGGTTTGGAGAATGATAAGAATCAGAAAATGAAAAAAACAAAGGGAAGACCAGAGGTGCAGGACAAGGAGAATAATTGCAAAGGGAGGCAGAGGTGAGGAATAAAGGAGAACACTGGGAGAGGTAGTAGGTTGGGTTTATAGAATAGTTGTGGTTATAGACTGGTTGGAGTTAATTTATTCATTCAACCAATACTTATTGCATGTTTACCTTGTGCCAGGCATTGGGAGGCATTGGGGATAACAGCAATGAACAAAGCAGATTAAAAAGTATTGCCACATCAACCCTTGTGTAACTCCAAGAGGGGACCGTTCACATTGTGCTTTTTTATGGCACTTATATTCTAGTGGAAAGAAACAGCCAAGAAACAAGTAGACAAATAAGATGATTTCAGATAGTGCTGTTGTAAAGGAAATAAAATAGGGTAGTATGAAACAGTGATGGATTAGGGGCCTCTTTGGATTTTTAGTGGGGAATCTGGAAAGTTTGGTAGTGATCTGTCAGATTTAGACTGATCCAGATTATTTTTCCAGCTTTGGGAAGTTTCTGGTTTGGTGACATTTTAGGCAACTTCCCTTTTTATGGGATCTTGTGAAATGATGAGCAGATTGAGTTGGGCATGATGGTGGCCCTGACATGACAGAATGTTTGGTAAACAAAAGTTTGGATGGTGACATTTTATACTTTATGTGACTTCTGAATTGGCAAATTGGTGACATTAAAAGTAAAAAGTAAATTGGTGTATTAAAAATTGTGAGGTTTAAGAAAAGATACAAATGAAATTTTTTGTTCTTTAGTTAATGATTTTTATGTAACTTGCAGGTGGCTATAACGTCATTAACATTTATGAGATCCTTGGTGTTTAGTGATTTTAGTGTACTTAAAGAACATAAAGGAGTAGTATATGCCTTAAATTCATTAAGTGCTTTTATTCATAAGGACTTTCACATGTATTAGGTTTTTTAGCCTTTGAGATGTAGGAAAAGCCAAGAATTGGTGAGACACTGGTTTCTGAAATAAGAGAAGCCCCTGTAATCACTGATAAATGAAGCAGTGATTACTCTTTGAATCTCTTTTGGACTGGAGTTGTAGGAGGCTGAGTTTGTGGAGTAGCATATTTGTTGCGTTTATTTTTTTTTTTGCCAAGTAATCTGGGGAGTCCTGGTAATTTTTTAAATTTTTTTAATTTTCTTTCTTTGTTTTATTAAGTGAGAGTATTTGTAATTGTGGGTTCAAAGTTGGAATAATGTAAAATTATCTAACTGATTGGGATTTTTGAGACCAAACCACAATTTGAAATTGATTCCCAATTGAGCTAACTTTTAAGAGCCCGCTAATTCCTGTGCCTTGGTCAGAAAAGTCATTTGTTTTTTTATGAGAACTTAGAATAGGATTTGGATATGTTAAATATAAGTTTAATTCAGTGAAATAATTATTTACTGTCCCTCTTTTGGTGCTCTCTGTCCCTTCTTTGAGAGCAATTATCTAGAAATAAGTAAAGATAATCAATAAGGTTTATTTTCTTGTAGCACTTTCTGCCGGGTACGAAGTAGCTTGGGGTCACCATGAGTCAGAATGGACTCGCTGGCAACTAACAGCAACAAGCAGCGGCAGTCTGTTTTACTTTAGTGCACAATGTTATTAGTAATACTTTAGGACGGGCGTTCACACATACGTGTGTGTTTCTTTTTTTCCCCTAAAATACTGATCATGAAAGTGAGGAAAACTGTTGTACGTTTGGTTTGGATTCCATTTGAGAACTACCTTCAGTAATACATAGGCTACAAAGTAGTCATTTTATTTAGTTTGTATATACAATTCTTTGCTTTTCTGTGGCTTAGAGAAAAGGTAAACTACTTTTTTCACATAACCTATTCTGAATTACAATAATGCCGAGCTTTGTTCCCCTTAGTGGATTGGTATTGACAGTTGTTTTACTTTGGTATCATCGAATATCATGTATTCAGTTTAATTTATAACGTGTTTTGGTAGTGTTTTAAAAAATAAACTACTAAGCTGCTTTTGTTTAGGTATGTTTAATGTATGTGACAAAATAATATGAAGAAAATTGTTCTTGAGCATCTTAATTCTAAAGGGAAAGTAAAACTGTTTGAATTTGATACCCTGAAATGTAATTGTATTAAGTTAACAAATTATTTTTTCCAGGCAGACTCCAGGTTAAAAGCGCTTAATGCAACATTCAGAGTGAAAAACCCAGACAAGTAAGGTTTTGTTTTAATAACAGTTACAGTGTTGTTTTGAATGATGCCTATCAATCTATTTAATTTTTCATTTCTGAATGTATGCACTTTATTTGCTAAATATTTTAAATAGTGATTCACAGTAAAATCCTTTTAAAGTCTAAAACTGATTTTGAAATTTGGGTAGCTTGATTGGGGTTAAGGTTACTGTAAGTAACTGATTGAAGTTTTAGAAAATTAAATGCTGCTTTTTTGTAGAAGGAATTATTAAATGTTGCTGAGGTATCAGAAAATGAGAAAGTAATTTTAATTTCATATAAAATAGTTTTTTTACATGACCTTGTCAAATAAGTGTAAAACTCAAGATAAGACAATTATATGTTATATATACGTTTAATAATAAACTGTCTACCTTATATACCAAGAAGACTTGATAGATAAATGCATATGAGCATAATAAATTCATGTAGTGTTTTCATGGAGATATATTTATGTGAAAAATACTTGACTTCATTAATGTCAGTTTGGTGTTTCTGTATTAAAGAAAGCCGGTATATTTAGGAATGACTTTCCTGAGGATGGAACCTAGGTATTTCTTAAGATTTTGGGTTTCTTCTTTCACACTTTTCATTATATGGACCTTTACCTGGCACTGAAAGAGTTCAGGTAAGAGAGTTTTTCAGTTAGAAATGTACTTAGGCAGATAAGGCTTTCCCATTTTTGGGGAATAAGGTTATGAGGTCTGTTAGAATTTCTCTAGTTAGTCCGTTAGCATTAATTTCTACATAGTATAATTAATAGTAAAGACCAGGTTTGCATGATCTGATGACCTATCATGCCCGACTTTGTAAAGTGTAACACGTTAATAATAATGCCCTCTGATTTTTAATATAAATGGTGAATATAAAATATAAGTGAATAATAGTTTTGGTATTTAGGAAATTATGATGGTAACCACTGAGGTTCTTGTGGTATAGTGACATGCATGGTATCATACAGGACGTGTTCTCCAATTAAAGGAGCCCTGGTGACACAATGGTTAAGTACTCAGCTACTAACCAAAAGGTCAGCGGTGCGAACCCACAGCTGTTCCACAGGAAACGAGACATGGCGATCTGCTCCTGTACAGGGTACGGCCCAGAAAACCGTATGGGGCAGTTTTGCTCTGTCACGTTGGGTCACTGTTGTCGGAACTGACTTGATGGCACGCAACAACAACTCTAGATTAAGATCTAAAATTATGTCACTCTCAAGAAAAAAGCTTTGGGAAACCTAATAAGCTGAGTTTATGAAATTGGTGGATACACATTTATTAAAGGAGGACGTAGATGAGGATATCAGAACCCTCATTAATATTTTGGCAATTGATTGTTTTTCTATCTTTTCTGACCAAACTGGATTTTCTAAATTGCTAGATTTTATTTAATATTCATATTGTATATGGAATTTTAAATGTGATATGACCAATAATATAACCAAGACAGTTTTTTGCCACTATATTCTTGTGAAAGTGTATAATTAGTCATGGAACTTGTTTGTCTTGAATTCTAGATAAGAGCATTGTCTACATCAGTCATTGTTATAACAGATTCTTAATATACAGTATCTATGCCTAGCTGGTTCAGTGGATTAATCATTATACATACCATTATTAAAATAGTTTTACATTGCTAAAATAGTAAACCAGAAAGATTGTAGTGCTATATTCCAGAAGGATATACCAAAATGATTCTTTGAATACTTGTTTCATACATGTTTATCTTTTCCCAGGCTAGACTGTTAAGGGCAAGGAGGAGGAGAACCTTGAGTCTTCTACTTTTACATGGCCTCCAAAAAACCAAACCCCTTGCTGTCAAGTTGATTCTGACTCATAGTGACCCTATAGGACAGAATAGAACTGCCCTATAGGGTTTTCAAGGCTGTAATCTTTACGGAAGCAGACTGCAACATCTTTCTCCTGCGGAGCAGCTGATGGGTTTGAACCACCAGCCTTTCGTTTAGCAGCTGAGCACTTTAACCACTGTACCACCAAGGCTTTGTGTCTTAGTCATCTAGTGCTGCTATAACAGAAATACCACAAGTGGATGTCTTTAACAAAGAGAAATTTATTTCTTCACAGTAAGGTAGGTTGAAAGTCCAAATTCAGGGCGTCAGCTCCAGGGGAAGGCTTTCTCTCTCTGTTGGCCTTCTCATCAGTGTTCCCCGGGACTAGGAGCGTCTCTGCGTAGGGATCCCGGTCCAAAGGACGCGCTCTGCTCCCAGCACTGCTTTCTTGATGGTATGAGGTCCCCAACTTTCTCCTTGCTTCCCTTTCCTTTTATCTCTTGAGAGAGAAAAGGTGGTGCAGGCCTCACCCCAGGGAAACTCCCTTTACATTGGATCAGGGTTGTGACCTGGGTAAAGGTGGTGTTACAATCCCACCCTAATCCTCTTTAACATAAAATTACAATCACAAAGTGGAGGCCAACCACACGATTCTGAGAATCATGGCCCAGCCAAATTGATACACACATTTTTGGGGGGACATAATTCAAATTCAAACCATGACGCTTTGGTTTACATAGCCTTAGGTACTCTAAGTGCTTTTTGCATAGCACTGATTATATACTTTTCTTAAAAGAGATGTACCCAAGGATTATCTCCATTCGTTGAACTCCTCATATTATTGCAAATAAGTTAAACTCACTAAGACAAAATTTAAGTGGTAAACTGAACAGATTATATAAGTATTTACATAGTTATTTTTAAATCTACTGTTTCTAACTTCAGGTAGCTTTATCCCCATAGCTCTACTTTCTCAATTAATTATGGTAGGAATAGAGTTTGGAGACCCCAGGGAAAAGAAAACTAGTAAATGAAATTGTGATTAATTAAAAAAAGGAGGGGATTAAACTTTAACGTTTTATTTCTTTTAAAAAAATCTGAATCAAATAAGGCAAAATGTGAAAATCTGATTTTAAAAAATCTACTATTTCTAGTAGAAATAAGAAAGAATAACCACTCATGTCCTGGACTACTATGCCCAGAAGTTTTATCTACTGTGGCTTCAGTTGCCTTTTTTTTTTTTTTTTTTTAAAAAAAAAAAAAAAAAAAATCTGTTTAACTTAGTTAAATTGTGTATAAAATCATGGTTTTTTTCTTTTAAAGAAAGCCAGGCTGCACAGTCAGGTAATTAAGATTATGATTTGCTCAGGTTATTCCTTGAGTTTCCCAACTATTGAGTTACATCGCTTTCCCATGCTGAGTTTGGAGCAAGAAGTACTGATAAGGAGAAGAGGTTTATACAGTAGGTTTTCTTCAAAGAGCTCAAGGCATCTAAGAACTGGAGGGAAGAAAAGGAGGGTGAGGAGTGGACTGATGTATTTATTATTTCTAAGTCACTCAGACTACTAGAATTCATTGAGTTCCTTTTCTTTCAGGGCTTTATCCTAGGTAATGGTTGTACACGTTATAAAGACGTATCAGAAATTCTATATGACTTGAATCTGTGGGTAGAGAAAACTAAGGCCATATGAAAATATGAAAGCCATATGACATAGCGGACAGTTAGATCCCAAACTATATTTGTGTCTTGGATCTTTGAGATGGGAGAAATGTGTTCAAAAAAAGGCTTGATGGAGGTTATTTTTCAAGATGGGTCTTGGGTAGTTGATGAGATTTGATTAGGAGAGGCACCTGTCCAGGGGGGAGATGACTGCCAAGTAAATAAATGTAGAATATGGAGATTAAAGGACAGCATAAGGGTCCGGTAATGGTAACAGGAGTGTTTTGAGGAGATAGAAGACAAGGTTGGTTGAGGCCGTGTTGATTTTGCCCCACAGATAAGGATTTTAGATATTTAGTATTTAAGAAGGGAAGTTTTGTAGCACTATTTACCTAGTCAGGACTGTCTTTAACTCCCTCCTTTCAAGTGAAACTAACAGCATTCTGGCTTTATTATATATGATTTTTAGTCTTCTATCTCTCTTTAAGGACACCTAGGAGCCTTGGTGGCACAGTGGTTAAAACTCTTGGCTGCTAGCTGAAAGTTGACTGTTCAAACCCACCAGCAGCAGCACGGGAGAAAGATGTGGCAACCTGATTCCATAAAGATTATGGGGCCGAAACCCTATGGGGCAGTTTTACTCTGTCCTGTAGGGTCGCTATGAGTCGGAATAGGCTTGACGGCAGTGGGTTTGGTTTTAAGAACACCTAATCATTTAGGATAGGATTTGTCTTTTTAATATGCAGACATTGCTAGATTTTGACTTGGCAAGAACTTAGACTCTTGTTTTCAGAAAATTTGATCTTTCAGTTGAACTTGATTGACTTGTCAGTCTTTTACCTTTAGGCTTTTAGATTTTCCAATAACTATGATTTTTCTAAAGGTGTCTCTGACAGCTAGGTGTTGTGTAGAGTCTTTTTAGCCTTACTTCCTGATGAAGTGATCGCCTGGGAGGCTATCCCCTGGCCCTTTAAAGAGATTCTGCCACTCTTTTAATCAGATAGGGAAACCATGCGTGCCTTATTCATTCTGTGGCCAAAATTGTTGGGACCTTTTATCTATCAATTCTAGAAACCTCAGGTTTATCTAATTTAAGTGTTCCATGTCTTACTGTTTATATTCTTAGAAATTTTTTCATAACCAAATGTGACAACTAATAATTTTATAGTCATGCCAGGTCTAGAGTTGGGAAGCTAGATTCGGAAGGTCCTTAGGGGATCTGATCTAGTCTGGAGAAGCTACAGAACACCAAAGCTTGTAGAATTTCTGGCTCTTGGAGGGGTCCCAGCACAAGATCTCATGAAAGACAGGGTTTAGTGAACTATTTGCCTGCCTCTTAATGTTCAAATTCATGCCTCAACTTCTCAAAGGAAAATTATACCAGTTAAAATCTAATTGGCTCTACATAAAGCAGTTCACACTTATCTAAGATAATACATTCCTTTTTAAATTCAGTTTTATGTAAATGTTTTAAAATTTTTTTCGCTAGGTAATACATTCTCATGGCTAACCAAATGTATATGTAGACAGATAGAGATGGAAAAGTATACAGTGAGAAGTCTCACTCCCATACCCATCTGTCTATTCCTATTCCCCCTTCTCAAAGGTTGACACTTCATTCATTTTTAGGTTTATATCCCTTCGGAATTTTATACTACAAATGCAAGCAAAATTAAATAGAACATATTCTACCTTCCCATCTAGGATGTCACAGGGGAGATCAGGCATGCGTTTGTACTCCACTTAATGGCTAGCCAATCTTGCCAGCCCTTCCGTCCTTGAGGTTTTTTTCTTGCCTTGCGAGGAATAAGAGTGATAGAGGTTAAGTATTTTTTCCAATGATTTGATGCCCTCAGCCTAGCCAGCTGACTCTTCTTATGTATACCTCTCAACAGGCAGCTGGGAAATTGGGTGAATCATAGATGGTGCATACATGAGGTCTTTGGATGGTGATAAAAAAAATACAGCAGCGCTGTCTTTGCCCAAGGGTAACTCTTAATTTCTCACATTAGTTTTCCCTTATGACCCTTCTGCATTTGGGGGAAAATGGATATATTCTCAAATAAATAACAACTTAAAATAGTTATACATTCCCCTCCTTATATGTGGAATAATTCATTTATTATTAAATAGATACTATATTGACTCCCTGTTTTATTTCAGGCACTGGGTGAAGAAGGTAGAAGGTCCTTTGGCCATAAAGTCTACAGTCTGGGTGGGAGATGGAAAGAGACAGACAAGTAAACATGAATCACAATACACTGGGGCGGGTCCAACAATAGGAAAACCATAGGGCACTCCGGAAGCTCTTAGGGGACGTACTTTCTCTCTCCTGTGTGTGTGTTGGTTGGGGGGAGTACTATAGGGGATGGCATAGTATGTTAGGAGGTGGTATCTAAGCTGAAACCCAAAGGAGAATGGGTTAGCTAGATGAAGAGGTAAGGGGTGGGGGTGTGGTTAAGGAAAAAGGGAAAAAATAAAAGACCTATGTAAAGGCCTGGAAGCCGAGTGAGAGCATGGCCCTTTACGAAGGTGTTGGTAGTTCAGTATGGGTGCACCAGAGTTTTTGGGTAAGTAGGAGAGAAAAGTAGAATACAGAAATGAGGCTGAAGGGATATACGCAGGGATGAAATTGTGGAGAGTTTTATAATCCACATTGAGGAGTTCAGACTTTATCTAATGATCAGTGAATAGCCTTTGCAGCAGTGAGAAACCTGCTTCAGAGCAGGGGGGTGACATAATTGGGTTTGGACTTAGGTAAGATCATCCTAGCAGGGTGGACAGTAAATGAGAGTGGTGTGGGGAATGGACTAGGAGACCGGTTAGGAGGCTTTTACAGTAATTCCAGGTGAGAAATGATGATGCTAATCTGAATCTAGGGTATTGGCAGAGAGGCTAGAGAAAAGTGGACGGGTTTGGGCAATATTTAGGAGGTAGGATTGGCAGAACAGGTGATTAGTAGACTATATGGAGTGAAGAGAAAGGGAAGGAAATAGAGATGGTACCCAGGTTTCGTTCTTTAGAGTACTAGGGAACACAGGAGAGAGAGATTTGGGGTTGTAGGGAAAGGTAAGTTGAGCTTTTTGCTATGTAAGCAAACACAAATGTTTGCTAGTCGGTTGGCTTCATAGATTGGAGCTTAGGAGAGAAACTGGGGCTGGGGGTAGATATTTGGTATTCAGCAGCATGTGGATCGTAGTTGTGAAGCTTTGTGAGTGACAAACCACATAGAGTGTGTACATTGAATGAATGATGGCCGACGACCCAGGACTGAGCCCTGAAGAATGCCCTTTTCTAAAGGATTATCAGCATCCTGTGGGTGAGCTTGTTATAACTTCAGGTTTCTGGGTCCCACCAAGGCCTCTGTGTACCATGGGTGAGATTCAGGAATCTGCATTTTTTAACAAATTCCTTGGGAGTTCTTTGGTGCAAACTGAAGTTAGAGATAAGAGCGTGTGTGATGGAAGTAAGTGACCAGAGAGTAAAAGGAAAACAGTTCACAGTTATCTAAGGTAATATATATCTTTGAAAGAACAGAAATATTTGAGAAGGAGGGTGAGGTCAGCTGTTAACATTGCTGGGAGAATCAAATAAGATGAGGACTGAAATGTATCATTGATTTTGGCAGCGTGAAAATAGTTGGTGACTTTGCAGGAGTATTGCTCCAGTGTAGCCTGAAGTGCAAACTCTGGTGGCGTAGTGGTTAGGAACGATGGCTGCTAACCAAAAGGTTGGCAGTTCAAATCCACCAGACATTCCTTGGAAACTCTAGGGGGCAGTTCTACCCTGTCCTATAGGGTTGCTATGCGTTGGAATCGACTCGATGGCAGCGGGTTTGGTTTTTTTGGTATAGCCTGGAGTAAGAGCTTGGCTATTAACCAAAAAGGTCAGCAGTTTAAATCCACCAGCCACTCCTTGGGAACACTATGGGACAGTTCTGCTCCGTCCTGTAGGGTCACTGTGAGTCGGAATCAACTTGAAGGCAGTGGGTTTGGTTTTTCCTTTGTTTTATAGCCTGGAGTCCGTGGGTGATGCAAATGGTTAACGTGCTTGGCTACTAACCGGAAGGTTGGAGGTTTGAATCCACCCAGAGGAGCCTCAGAAGAAAGACCTGGTGATCTGAAAAATCAGCCATTGAAAACTCTCTGTAGTACAGTTCTACTCAGACACACGTGAGGTTGCCATGAATCGGAGTTGACTCGACAGCACCTGGTTTTTTATAGTACTGGAGGCAGAAGGTAGATGGTAGTGCGCTGAGCAGTGAACGGGAAGGGAAGTGGTTGTTGCTAGAGAGGTATAGTACCTTGTGAGAGGGTAGCTGTGAAAGGGTGGATATGGAGAGGGTGATAACAGTTGGTGAGTGTGTTGTCAAGGGAGTGTGTGGGTGCATGTGTGCGTGCGTGTGTGCATGCGTGACTTCATCCAGGAGAGACCTGACTTAATTGATATGCTGATGAGGGTGGTTTACAGAGAGAAGTTTGAAAATTGGAATATGGGAAGAAGGATGCTAGAGGGAAGGAAGAAATGATAAATGTAGATGTGGGGAAGCAGGTCAGTTTAGTGGCAGGAGGTGGAAATGGTGGTGGTTTCTATCTGATGGCTTCTGTTTTGTCTGAAGAAGGCAGCTCGGTTGTTTGGAGAGTGGCATATGTGAGGTGTTTATGGAGATGGCAGTCAGATTAGGGGACAGATGACCAGAGACCGCTAAGATCAAGGTTAGAGGCCATGTGTTTATGGTTAGACCATAAGATTCTTTTAGCACCATGTATTTTTTCAAAGTATTTTTCGTACCAACGAATTTTATCTCTATCTCAGCCCCACAATAAATTAAGTAGTAGAACATCTTTTCATGGCTTCAGAATATCACAAGAAAGTATGGCTGTCTTACTTAGAATTTTTTGAATTCATATCGAGGTATAAAAGTTCAAGGCCAGCATATGATTAAATAGAGTCAGTTTATTATTTTCAGGAACTACTGTTTTGTCTTTCAGTTTTTGACTGCCTGTTTTCATGAGAAAAATGATGTTTTTTTTTTTAATTTCCTGTTTCAGGAGATTTACTGAACTAAAACACTACAGTGATGAACTGCAGTCCGTCATCTCACACCTTCTGCGAGTCAGAGCTGTAAGTGGTCCCCAAGAGCTTTCTGACACATTTATAAGGAAATACTTCTCATTTAACCTTTACGTTTTTAGGTAATAAGTTGTATTTATGTCGAAGAACTGATTTTTACATTCAAATTTGAAGTGTTCACCATCCCAACTCCATTTTATGAAAAATGTAAAATGTTTTCTGGCATAAAACCACTTGAAGAATGTTAACCTATTGTTTTCTCCGTGGTTTGTAGTAGTATATTTGTTTTGACATCTTGTCAAAAGGCTTGCCGTTTCAAGAGAGTAAATAAAAGGTCCGCTGTTTCAGCATTAGGAGGTAATTAAATAAGGGTAGGGTTTAGATCTACCTATAGTAAATACTCTTACTCTTTCACGATTTTTTTTTTTAAGTTCTGTGAAATAGTTTGTGCATTTTAGGCCATCCTGTGTCTGTGCTGTTAAATTCTATGAAGTAAACTTATTAGGGGTAATGATCTGCCATGACAGAAGGAACTAGGAATTGAGGAATAATGATTGTACTTTGCCATATAGTTTGGCTGTGATAGACATGGAGAAAAATGCTTCTGGGTAAATTAAACCCATTGCTGTCGAGTCTTTTCCTACTCGTACTGAACTTAAGGACAGAGTAGAACTGCCCTGTAGGGTTTCCAAGGCTGTAAATCCTTATGGAAGCAGACTGTCATGTCCTTCTCCCGTGGAGTGGCTGGTGGGTTCTAACCCCCGACCTTTTGGTTAGTAGCCGAGCGCTTTAACCACTGTGCCACTAGGGCTCCTCTCTGGGTAAATTAATGTACCTGGAAATGTGTGCCATTCACTCTGGCCCTTGAGTAGCCCAGAGGAAGACTATGCTGAAGGCTTTTAAGGAGACAGGGAAGCAGGTTTAGGATCATATCTCATACTGATTGCAGTCCTTCTGAAGTAAAACATGTTATGTGGAATTGCTTAAAAATAGTCCACTAATGAGCAGTAGGGGCAGTTTTATATGAAACAAAATTGGCCACATTTTGATAATTGTTGAAGCTGGGTTGAGAAATGAAGATATACGCTACTCTTCCCTACTTTCTGTGTGTTTGAAGATTTCCATAATACAGCATATAAAAAAGTAGAGTAAGAGGGAAATATCCTTCTGAAGACCTCCATATTGGCTCAGTCTCGTGTTAGACCATTCAGAGGCTCACTGGACTCCTTATGTTGTAAGATACATATAGGCCTCTGGTTGCCTTAAAGTTACCAAAAATCAGGCAACAGTTCTTGTGGAAGTAGAAGCAGGCGATGGAGACATGCCAGAAGACTAGAAGAAGAATCCAGACTGCTTTGTCCTCTGTGCCAGAAGACTTGGAGACTCCACTTAACTTAGGGGTCTGGCTGATTTTGACAGTTGTGGACTTCTTTAGAAGTCCTTCAGCCAGAGGGAAGGAGGACATGGTAGAAAGTTTCATTTAGGAGGAAGGATAACAGTTCAGGGAGTCAAGGTAGGCAGAAGTAAAATATTAAGCAGTCACAGTACTAACCAGAGGTACTGACAGGATCTCAGACAGTCTTCCACATCCAGAAGAAACTAAGGGACAAAGCAGAAAAATTGGCCAGAGTCAGATTCATCAGGAATCTCAGATACAGAGTGATGAGCTGGACAAAGTATACTCTTCCTTTTTTTTAGCTATTGTGCTTTAAATGAAAGTTTACAGTTCAAGTTAGTTTCTCATACAAAACTTTATACACACACTGCTCTGTGACTCTAGTTACACTCCCTGTACTGTGACAGCACACTGCTCCTTTCCACCCTGGATTTCCCATGTCCATTCAGCCAGCTCCTGTCCCTTTCTGCCTTCTCATCTCACCTCCAGACAGGAGCTGCCCGTCTAGTCTCATGTATCTACTTGGGCTAAGAAGCACACTCTTCACGAGTATCATTTTATGTCTTATAGTCCAGTCTAATCTTTGTCGGAGAGTCCAGGGGCCATATCTTCTGAGGTTCCTCCAGTCTCAGTCACACCATTAAGTCTGGTCTTTTTACTAGAATTTGAGTTCTACACCCTGCTTTTCTCCTGCTCCATCAGGAACTCTCTATCTCTATGGTGTTCCCTGTCAGGGTGGTCGTTGGTGGTAGCCGGGCACCATCTAGTTCTTCTGGTCTCAGGCTGATGAAGTCTCTGGTTTATGTGGCCCTTTTGTCTCTTGGGCTAATATTTTCCTTGTGTCTTTGGTGTTCTTCATTCTCCATAAAGTGTACTCTTACACACCCAGAAAATCCTTGAAACATTAGGGAATCAATTTAAGTGAGATCTAAAGGAGGGAAAGTAAGTTTCGTTACTGTGAGACTGTACTAACAGACCATCTGAAAGAAGATACGGGTGATTGTTTTTGTAAAGCAAGAAGATTGTCGCAATGTAAGATATGACAATGATTATATCTGGTTTTCTGCTGAAAGTACATTTTAAAATGTGATTAATATTTAATAATCTTTAAAGATTATAACAAAAATTAACTATGACACTAAAGAAAATTTTAAAAGATTCTCCCATACAACTATTTTTAAATTCCTTTTTATTCATTTAGAATTTTTTTTCAAAAATTTTTCATCACCCCAAACAGAAATTCTGTACCCATTAAGTAATAACTCTCCAATTCCCTCTCCACCCACCCCTGGAAACTAAATGACTTTCTGTCTCTTTGGATTTGCCTCTTCTGGATATTTCATATAAGTGCAACTATACGGTATTTGTCCTTTTATGTCTGGCTTATTTCACTTAGCATAATGTTTTCAAGGTTCATCTGTGTCATAGCATGTATGAGAACTTCACCTTTTTACTCTTTGCACACTCTATTTTAGGTCTGTATCGTTCTAACTGTTCATCAACTGTGCCAAACTTGTTTCTGTCCTAGAACTTACATTTGCTCCTTACCTTGCCTATGTCATTTTCCCCACCTCCTTACACCCCCAAGATCTTTTCCTTGGCCTGTTCCCTCTTCCCATTTAGTTCTTGGCTCAAATGCCTCTTCAGAGAGATCTTCTTGAGCATCTTATCTAAAGTAGCTGTTCTCACTTTGTCATTTTCTATTATTGCTGTTGTCTTTATAGCAATACTGCCTGACACTATTATTATGTACTCATTTGTTAACTATCTCCTGTACCAGAGGAGGGACTTCATTTTCTCACTCCTAAATCCTTGGGATAGTATCTGACATACAGGAGGTACTCACTAAATATTCATTGAATGGATGAATGAACAAATGAATGATGACAATTTTTATATATATATATTATTGTACTTTAGATGAAGGTTTACAGAACAAATAGTTTCTCATTAAATAGTCAGTACACGTATTGTTTTATGACATCGGTT